TCCCGTTTAACTATGAGGCCCTGATTCTCTTCACAGACTGAAAAAGGAAATCCAATTCTATTCGAGAAAACTGGCAGGTCATTTTTCTCCTTAGAGAAAATGGACCGCACAAATTATACCCAAAAACCTAATATCTCCACCACTGGCTGTTGAGAAACAATAGAGCCTCCATTAGCAGCCTTCAGCCCACAGAACACTCTCCAAGAAACTAACTGCAGGATTTGAGTGGAGGCAGAGCCCTGGTCCCCACTGAAGGCACATCAAAACTGTAATAAAACCCTGCTTTTTGAAATGAAACTAAGCAACTGCTATTTCACACCCACATTCTGCTGGAACCCATTCAAATCCTCTCCACCAACCTTGTTTCAAATGAAAATGTTCAGCTTCCTGGGTAGTGGGAGAGGGCTGATTCACACTGCTCCCTGTACGTCAGAAGTATGGGTACATATGCAAAACCGAAAGGGCTGGATATGACTGCTGAGTTCGAAGATTGTCACCATCAAAAGAGTTGGTGCTTACCCCCCCATCTGTCATCCGTCCTCATCTCCCAGGGCTTGAGGATTGGAAGTCCTGATGTGCAAGAGGACGTCATATTTAGAACTAGTTCTATACAGAGTGGTAAAGGGAATACAGGAAGAGGGAGCGATTACAGGGGAAACATGCCTTCTCTTGGTGCGACAGGCAACTCAACCCACCCATCAAGGAATCTGAGAACAATAAGGCTCTTAAGGCGATTGGGTAAACAGGGGAGAACCCACACACACACTTCCCCATCTTCTTGCTGACAGCTACAGCATTAGAAAACTAAGACGACAAGAAACAAGCCCACATTTGCCATATGGTTTTTCAGAACAGGAAAGAGCACACACACACACACACACACACACACACACACACACACAGAGTGCTCCAAAGGATCGGTAACTCACCAGCCAAGACGGCAGCACATTGCTGGGTTCTGTAGCCCAGTGACTCAGAAGTCACTTTGCTTGCCAGAATATTAAATGCCAAGTGACATCGCTCTGAAAAGACATTTCTCCTGGAAGCCTGGTCCTGAGTGAAGCTCTCCTGAACAAGCAAGGCTTAGATGTTAAAAAGCTGCTTCCTCGTAGATGGGCTGCCAACCGATAAGGGGTACCATATACACCCAAGAGTACATAAGAAGCCTACATCACAGAAGCCACATATACTCCTCTGTAAAAAAATCCCCCCAAGAACTTCGCCCACAGGAATCATAAGAAAGCAACAACAGGATCCAGAAACGCGCAGGAAACAGAAAGCAGAGAAAGGGGCGCCAGAGATGTTCTGATGGAGGCGCACTGTGCAAAGTTGAGAGGTTGAGAGCACTGATGAGATGCTCGGAGTCTGTAGCTCACAGAAATAGGCAGGTTCCAAGATTGCCACAATCTAAAAGGGCGGTGCTTACCCACCTTCCCATCCATCCTCACCTCCCAGTGCTCTAAGGCTAAAACTCCTGGTGTGCAAAAGGACTTCTATATGGTTCTACAGCCTGGTAAAGGGGGATACAGGGAAAGAGAGCAAATTACAGGAAGACTCTCTGTGCCATCTCTCTGTGTCTCTGTCTGTCTCTCTCGATTGTTTCCTTTCAAAGTAACAGAAGCTTTGATTAAGGTGACAATATAATTGATGAATGTTTATAACTCTTGCTCTTGCAAAGAAAGCTTGGCGACAAGAAACACTCTGCAACCCTGTGAGCATTCCATGCAGGATCTTACCACCCAGAAAGCTGCCCACAGAACAGAATGTGTTCTTTTACCAACATGGAAGTTGCCCAGAGCCAAACTGTTAATCAGTATTCTCAAGCAATTAAATTAAAATAGTAAAATAAAACATAAAAGTTCAACAGGTAACTTCCAAACTCAACTTTAGTTTATCAATGGTGCATTCACCTTGAATTATACCATGTATTATAATGCGCAAAAGGAACAAGGTTTATCCCCAAAGGGGTGTAAGATGGTGAACTCTGTTACCAGAAGTGATGTGGAACACCCCTATGTATGCTGTGAATATGTTTCATTATCATTGGTTGATAAAGAAGCTTCTTTAACCTATGGCAGGGCAGAATATAGCAAGGCAGGAAAGCCAAACTGAATACAAGGAAAAAGAACACAGAGTCTGAAAGATGTCAGTAGCTGTCGGAGAAGCAAGATGTAAAGTAACAAGCCACGAGTCTTCTGGTAAAATATAGAACAGTAGAAATGGATTAATTTAAGTTGTAAGAGCTAGTTAATAATAAGCCTGAGCTAATAGACTAACAGTTTGTAATTAATATTAAGCCTCTGAGTGATTATTTAGGAACTGGCAGGTAGGAGAGAAACTTTCAGTTACACAGAAGTCAGAAAAAAAATAATTGGCCTTTCCAGTTTTGAGGACGATTTTAACTCAGCTGTAAAAGACAAGTGAAGTGAAATAAATCCGGAATCCTGCCTAGACAAATTGAAATATATATTCTTAAAATAAGTAAATGACCATGGAGAAGATAATCTAAGGACAATGATTCCATAGGAGGCTAAGAACTTAATATGTACAACAGTGGTAAGTCTACTTCTTATATCATTTAACCAATGGCATTTATTTAGAATCACCCTTGAGAAACAAGACATAACGGTATTCACCTTTCATATGTTAGTGTCTCTAGAGTTTCCTAGGGTCACTGTGGGTAATTAAATCCCTCCCAGTTGAGAACACTTCCACCTGAAATAAATTCTCAGGTCTTCACATGAACACAGCAACTCAGTCTCACAGAAGGCATTGTTGTTGCCATTGCAGATAGCAGACAGATCAGCATGGAAATAGCAGTAGATTTTTGATGAGCCTTGACCTGCATGGTCATGGATAGAAATGACCCTTGACCTGAACGTTTGTAGTAGGAAAGAGCAGAAGATTGGCAAGATGGGCCGCACAGAACAGGACTCGGGGTATGGCAAAGGAATGCAAGCAAGCTATGATCGTTCACAACTGAGAAACAGCTAAGGCGGAAGACTTGGGACAACCTAGAGAAAAGAAAAGCTGTTATATTGTGTTTATAACATGCTAGACACTGTGCTTACATTTTCTTTCTGATCTAGTTATAATAACTGAACACCGGCGCTCAGGCCCCTGTCCCGTGAGCCACACTCACCCCCAGCTGACCTCACACAATCGTATAGCTGTAGCACCACGTGCATGCAATGATCCCAAATCACTAATTCAGCCTGGACACTGCCTCCAAGCCCCGGATTCAACATGTTTGACTGTCTGATTGACATTTCCTACCAACTAGCTGAAGGATGTCTGAAGTTGTCTGGAAGCAGGACCTCCTTTCTGAAGTCCACCAAAGATAAACTTGCTTCTCCATGTGTCTTCCAAACGCAACCAATGTCCTCCCCTTCTTGCCACCCCCACATCTACTTCCCGCCTCCATTTCCAGAATGGGTCTCTGCTCCAGCCTCCTATAGGGCATAGAGGTGAACCCCACTACACACACACACACACACACACACACACACACACACACACACATCCAGTGACCCGAGTCTATGCATTCCAAACCTTGACGCTGTAAAACAGGCTCTAGTCACCAACAACTATGGAGACAAAACCTTGGGACTCCTTGAACAGCAGACAACCGTCACGGAGAAAGACTCCGAAAGGGAAAGGAGTGTTTCAGGACATCCGCAGAGGGACAAAGGAAGCCAGGCTCTTCAAAAACATCGTCCAGCTCCAAATACCCCCTTTGTTCTTTTTCGGATCTTCCTTCACAGGTTCAAGGCCTGCATCACATAGAACTCCTTTGCTGGGCCCCCAGCCACTTAGAATTCCGTTTGTGCTCTCAGCATTTGACCCCACATCTAGTGGAAGCCCCTGACAAGAGTTGTGAATGCTTAACGCGGCATCACGGGAACTGCATGGGCAGCGTGAGAAGGGAGTGGATCTTTTAGAGTAAGCAAGCCTCGCTAGACCTTTCTATAGGAGGCATATTTTAGAGACAGAAAACAGATATGTGCTTCTCCCAGAAGGTAACAGGGTAGCCTATGGAGTAACTACAGCCGTATGGGAAGATGGAGGGCAAGGCACTTAGAGGAAGTGGGGGAAGGAAAGCCCTGGAAGAATGGGGGAGATTATTAGAATTGGAGAGGGGGCAACAGAACCAAAGCGGGGGTAGGAGCAGATTGGTAGAAGTGGGGGCGGGACAGATGCCATCAAGAAAAAGAGACAACTCTAGCCAGCACATCCAGCCTTGCTTCAGAGGATGCGGCCGGAAGCAGGAGTGATGGGCGATGGGCGTAAGCGTCTGGCAAGCTCCAGCATTCCGTTCCCAGTCTTTTCACTCTTAAGTACCACGTAAATGATGAGCTCCCAAAAGAAGGTGGGAAGTCCAGGCTTCAACAACCAGAGCTTAAAACTGACCTACTCAATGAAGCGTGAGGCAGGAAGTTAACGAGGTAAGGAAGAGAGAGCCTAGCCAGTGATGTAACACAAACCTAGGTTTGACCCTGGAGGGTCTAATTATTTTTCCACTAAGCGGTGCTGGGGCCTTGTCTTCTCACCCTGTGCCAGTCCCAACCCCTGGGTAGGGACTGGTGGGAACGCGGGAGGGCAGATCCTCACCATCACCTAGACCTGGTGCAAGAGTCATTCACAGAATCTACCCATCCGGTTTCTCCAGGCCTGGGTGGGAAAACACAAGGACATCCATGCTTCCTTTGCTTTCCCTTACTGCTACGCAGCGCCCCCTCCCTCACTGGGATGGGTATGGTTGCTGGGTGCCCTGTTCCTGGAAGGAGGCCTGCCAAACTGGGCGCTTAGCAGTGGTTGGGTGTGGATGGACTCTGCTCAATTCCACTTCAGTCAATGGGGCCGTTGAAAAGACTAAAAAGGAAGTGGAAGAGTCTCTAGGGCCCAGTGGGGAGGTCCACCGGCCTGCGCCAAAGGCTCCCCAGCGCCGTCTGAGTGCCGGCTCAACACCAAAGTCCGGGTCTGCACCTTTTGCAACTGACCTTCCTGCGGGAAAGCCCGCGTGGGGCGCAACAGCTCGGCTCAGGCGTCGTGCTCCCGCCACTCCGGGGCAGTGCTCGGCGCCCGCTGCGCACGTAGGTCACCTGCCTCCTCCTGGCGCCCCTCGGAGGGTCGGGTGCTGGCAGCAGGTGCGGCCGGGGCAGCTCCGGGGGAACGCGGAGACCCGGGAGTCCGGAACCCGCCCGGTGCAACTCCATGCAGAGCCGCAGGCCCAGCAGCAGGGCAGCACCGAGCAGCCACCGGGGCAGGACTCCGCAGCCGCGCCCGGGAGGCCTGGCTGTGGCCATGACGGGGACCCTGGCCTCAGGCTGCAATCTGGATCCCACCATCAGCTCCAGGACGCCAGCACAGAGGCGTCCCCACTGGCCCCGGGCTGCCAACTGTGGCAACTCCCCAGCGGGCGAGTGTCGGCCCGCCTTCCACTCTGTCACAGAGGAGGCCCCGGCGTAACCTTATCCTGCCCAGCAGGAAGAGCGACGGGTGGTGGGCTAGGCGCGCACCCTGGGGACAGCCACAGAGAGACAGCAAGAACACGTTCCTGGGGTGCTGGGCTCTGGTTTCATTTGCTAATGTTACTATTAGACACAGAGGAGGGGGGAAAGGTGAGCTGCCAGGTTATGCACCAAAGAAAAAGTTCTATCAAGCGGTTTGGTGCCATTAAGCTTGATATAAAAATAAAGCATACTTATGTTCAGGTCTACAACTTCTCTCCCTCAAGGAAGGAGGGGGAGAGAGAGAGAGAGACAGAGAATAGCACTCCATGCAGAAGAATCAAATTAGAATTATTCCGTTTCTAAATTCTGCCCGAAGCCAATCCGTGCTTTCTCTGTGTGTTATGAAATGTGTGGGGGAGAAGGGAAGGGGAAAGCCAGCTGAGACATCTGACAGCCGGGGAAGAGGGAACAGAAGTTACCGTGGCATGATGGAAATCAAATTAATTTAGCCACACACACACACACACACACACACACACGCACCTCCCCGCTGCCTGGCAGCAAGGCAGAAGGACAAATTTGTCTCTGGGCAGAAACGCTCCCCAGCTGGTACTGCCATCATCACCTTGACCTCAATGCTCACAGTTAGAAGCCCGGGGTTGATGTTCCACTTTCAGTTGTTAGGGTTCTTTTCCTCCACCTGTGTGGGGGTGAGTTTGGTTTTTAGACTTACATTTGGGTTCTTTTGGGTCCTTTGCTTTTTTAAACTATGGTCAGGTACACACACACGCACACGCACACACATGCACGTATATATTTCCCATGTTTCCCTGCAGGCTGTCTCTGTTGTCTGTTCTCTCCCCCGCCTGCAACATAGACAACAGAGACCGAGTATGAAGTCTGCTCTCACCCCTGCCCCATTTAAATTTTGGGATTTTTTCATAAGGCTCTCTGCTCTCTGAAATGCCCATCCATTTTTAGCTGAAGACTTAATTTATTCTTTGTCACAGAGCACTTAACTTGTTTTCCTCCAGCCACAGAACTTCGCAACCCAATCTTGACCATTCCCTGGCCAATCCAGTCCTCAGGCTCCTGAAGGTTTCATTATTCTTGAAGACATACACACATGATTGGAAGACAGACAGACAGATAGATAGATAAATAGATAGATAGATTGATACATACATACATGGATGGATAGGTAGGTAGGTAGATAGATAGATAGATAGATAGATAGATAGATAGATAGATAGATAGATAGATAGATAATATGGTAGGTGGGTAGGCAAACAGATATAGATGATAGATAGATAGATAGATAGATAGATAGATAGATAGATAGATAGATAGATAGATAGATAGATAGATAATATGGTAGGTGGTTAGGCAAACAGATATAGATGATAGATAGATAGATTAGATAGATAGATAGATAGATAGATAGATAGATAGATAGATAGATAGATAGATATGCAGGCAAACAGATATTCATCAGATATCCACTTGCTTACCTCCAGGGAACTTGCAGATAAAGTCTATTTTAAGGAATATAAACAAATACCATTTTATTCACACAAACTGTAAGAGACAGTCTCACATCCTGTAATTATTTACATGAACTGAGTTTGAATCACAACCTTCTCATTGAGCGACAGGAGACATTAAACAAAGAATTTGGCTTGTCTAAGCTTCTGCTTCCTGTGGGGAGACAGACCTATATTGAAGGTTACAAACATCACATAACTATTATATATTCCGTGCCTGAGTAATACCTAGCCCTCAGGAGCTATTTTATTTACCATTTACCAATAAAGAAAATTCTGGATATTGTTATAAAACAGTATGCATTTTTTTAAAATGGAAAATACAAGAAAAGACAAGGTGATCTATAAACACCATTGACTTGAGGTTTATAAATATCTTCTCTTGACTTAGGAACTCCAAATTATATGATAAAAATACATTCTTTATATGTATGAAAACACCATCTGACACCCGTTGTTATGTATAACCAGCATATGCTAAGTATTATGGTTGGTTTTAATGTCATCTTGCCACAGATTAGAATCACTTCCGCAGGGAGCCTCACCTGAAGAACTCTGATTGTCTCCATTGATGTGGAATGGCCCACCCAGACTGACACCTTTGGGTAGTGGCCCAGATTAAATGACAGGATTTCAGATTGTGTGATTTTCCCACCTTTTGCTTCCTTGACCTTCCTCTGAGTTGATCTACCCTGCTGTGCTCCCAGGGCAGAGGGGCTGATTTCTCCATCACAGCAGAACCAGCATTCCCAAGCTTTCGTTGTGGAATAAGGACAGTGCTCTCCAGGGACTTCGCAAGCCGCCAACATCAGACTGGTACTACTGAGGTCCCTGCCCTGGGGACTGGGTAACTACACTGTCAGTCTGAGACTGCTATCTGGAACTACTCCCACTGTTAAGGCACCCAGCCTCAAGAGCCCAATACTGGGTTCTCAGAGTCTCAGATGTGACTTGACTACATTATTTTAAAGCTTGCTTGATAATGTATTTACACACTTGGTTCTGTTCCCGTAGAGAACCCGACTAAAACACCAGCACTTTCAAGAACATGTAAGACTCATGATCCTGAGGCTGGGGCTGTAGTTCAGTGGAAGAGCATTTGCCTAGAACATGCTCCATCCCCAGACTCAAGATTCTACAAACGCTCTTTAACGAGTTATATACTTACACAGCACTGTTTAAAACAATGTGTATAGTGTTTGCTAAACACGGTTCAGCAATGCCTACTGTGGATTTCACTAGAAGTAGTTTAGTTTAGTTTAGTTTAGTGTTTTTTTTTTTTTCTGAGCAGTTAACACAATGTCTACATATTGTGTAAAGTAAAGAAGCAATCTTCTCAAGATCACGGCGCCACTAACACATGCCCTCTGCAAGTTTCTCTACAGAGAGGACTCAGGAAGATGCCCCTCTATTACTAGAATGGGGTATTTAGTAAGCTGGGAGGGGAACAGAGCACAGGCATGGGTACACTCAGAACAGTGTAGCCCTTGAAGAGAATGGGCAAGATGATCTCATATTTTCCCTTCTCTCACTTTATGCTTTGTTAGGGGAAGCTGTTAGTTCATTCCCGGCTGCTCAGACCCCTGAAACAATCACACAGAAATCTGTATTAATTACAACACTGTTTGGCCAATAGCTTAAGAGAATTGCTAGGTAGCTCTTATATCTTAAGTTAACTCATTTCTATTATTTTATATTGTACCACAAAGCTCATGGCCTACCAACAAGGTTCCAGCTGGCGGCTTGCATCTTTTTCCTCTGGCAGCTCCGTGGCTTCTCCCTGACTCCACCTACTCTCTCCCTATATATCTCTTCCAGCCTGGCTAGATTCTGTTAAGCCATTGACCAAAAGCAGCTTCTTTATTAACCAATAAAAGCAACACATATACAGAAGGATTTCCCACATTGTTTTCCCCTTTCTGTTAAAATGAAAAGGAAAATTTTAACTTTAACATAGTAAAATTACATATAACAAAACAGGTATCAAGTAAGACTTACAGTCACAATATTTATATCTACTTTATCTTTTATTATAACTAAGTAAAACTATAACTGTAACTATTCTTCAACTCCATCAAAGACTCCAGAAGGATATAATATTACCTAAGTAAACAGAAAGTACATTGTAAGCAACTTCCAAAATTCTAGAATTGATAGAGACAGCTTGCTGCATGGACAGTCACCCAAAGTTGTTTTGTAACATTGGAGCATTCATCTTCAGCCTACAGTCACTTTCTTCTGTGTCCTGCAGAATGTCTGGCAGACTCTTTCATGAAGCAGGAACCCCAAAGGATCGTCTCACCTTTAGACAAGTTCAGCAGTCATTCTCTGTGGGTCCTACATGTACAGTTCATTCAGCATAACAACAAGCAGTCCAGACAAGAACAGTTTTTTTCCCCCAAATGGCTAACAAACTCCATAAGGAGCCTCTTCAGTGCCCATCATCCTCTTGAAGTAGATTGGTGCTGCCAGAAGTAGATGAGACTCATTGTCATGGAAAGACTTAAGTTATTAAAACATTTTAAATGCCATATTCTGAAGGTTTCTGAGAGAATTGAAGAATACCTATCTAACTGAAATATATCTCTATATATCTAAAAAAACATAACATGACTAGAAGCTTGACTATGATAGATGACTATCTATTAACCTATATTTCTTAATTATACATTACATTTTTAAATGAGCTGCACAAACACAATACCTTAATCAAGAGCAGAAATACACATATAACAAAATTGACCTAAAATTTATATCAACGAACCAAGATCTAGACCAATGTATCATATCCATCAAGATATCAAATCCCCTTGAAACATAAACAAACATTTATAAACAATCATTTATGGAATTTTGGTGTAGTTCTCTCCAAACTGCTTCTTGCTTTTCGTTGGGCAAATTATTTTCTTATGGGAGGTTTTCACGGAGACCTTTCAGAATGTTTTGGTCCACCAAACCACATTAGTCTGGAAGGAATCCACAGGTTCTCATCTTCTGTGAAAATAAAAGCAGAACCTCTTTTCCAAAGCAACTTATCCTTAGACCCAAATTTTGAAGTCAAAATATCTTTAAAGTATATATGTTGGTTTAGCTTAGTGGCCCATACAATAAAATGTCTCTCTGTATTTAGCTCATTTACAGTCCAAAAATTCAAAGAAAACACAATAATAAACATAATCCAGACTCTCTGTGTATTTTCCATCTTTACATGGCTTATTTTTCTTTATTCCTTTAATCTATGACTATCTGTACTTTGTCTCTTTGAAGACTTTATTTTTTTTAGAACCATTTACTTCTTCTTTATAACTATATTCTTTTTCTTCTCTCTCCCAGGCCTACATACATTTGTCCAACACCCTGACACATTTAAAGATCTTTTTCATCTGAATCTGTCTTTATTGTGTAATTATAATTCTTTTCTGATCAGGACCACTTTTTTAAAATGCCTGATTAGGAA